TCTCTCTGTCTCATTGCCCCTCACTCATGTGCACCATCTCTCTGTCTCAAAAAATTAATAATAAAACAAAATAAAATAAAATAAAATAAAATAAATAAAATAAAAATCTGTTCAATATAATCCTCATAGTAACCCTGTGAGGTGAGAATTATTATTTAAGCCCATTGCACAGGTGAGGAAACAGAGGCACAGAAATGTAAAATGACTTGCCCAGAACCACACAACTGATAAAGGAAAACCAGGATTCACGTGCAGGGCAATCTGGTGCTGAGTCTTCTCGTAGCCACCGTGCAGTGATGTCTCCATGCTGTCATCCTTGACAAGTAGAGAGGACAATTGCTGGACAGGGTTGAAAAGTTGGGGGGGGGTCACAGGGAAAGTTTTGGTTAGGAAAAAAAAGTGATTAGGTATGCACTGTTGGATTGGTGGTAATAGCAGGACATACAAGTGGAAATATTGTCAGTATGGGCCTAGGGCTCTGCCGGGAGGATCTTGCTACTCCTTGTAATTCTGTGCACTTGCTTTTCGAAGGAATAAGCAGTTTGGGGTCAGTAAAAGTGTTTCTAATGCTTACTGGTGTCATCTTTCCTTTACTTTGTTAGGACGCTAATTGTTGCAAGCTGTTTTAGGATTGATTCCATCCTCAAGGGTACTATTATTAGTTTAGGATTAGAATAAGTTGTATTAAAACTCATATATTAATGACAAAATAATAGAAAAAAATGCAAGATACATAATTGCCTAGAAAGCATTTTAATACAGTGCGATTTTACTTGTAATAGATTTTATGGTATTTTTCACATAATATCTACCCTGAAAGAGGAAATGATCTTATCATGCAAGTTAATATATAATTCATACATGTCTGTCCTTATCATGTTCAGATTGATTCAGTGCAGAGTTAAGTGTGAGTTAGCTTGTATTCTCCATGTAGCACAGTGCAAAGAAAAAAGAAAGTTCTAGTAATCATTGAGTTCACTTTGGAAAGCAAAAGTTCTCTTGAAATTGCATGTTGAATTAAGCAATTTTGTAAACCTTCACTTTCTGATATTTCTTTAATATCAAGAAGCAGTGACTATTCTGTCTGTTGCCAGAGACAGCTTATCAGAGTTACAAAGGCATGCTCTGTTGGACCTTGTCAGGGTAATGCCATCCCTCCTAGGTTACTCGTTTTGCTATAGACTCTTCTAACAATTTAAATATGTCCCTGGAGTTATGTGAATTCCTTAATTTCAGGATGTATTAAAAAGAACATTCTGTATCAAGAATGTTTTATCGTGGTATATTAATCTGTCTAATCAAGAGGGAGAAATGACCCAGTAATTTGAACAGAGACCGTTTAATACGAAGAATTATTAACTATCACAAAGAATTTGATGAGGAATTGGTTGATAACAGCTAAAGAAAACTCTAAAGAATACAGGAATAGAAGATTTAAGAGGCAACCACTACTCCTAGAACTGAGATAAGCTGCCCATGGAAGAGATTCCTTAGGGTGAAGATCTTGATTTTACTGGAGAGGTCATAGCTGTGGTCACTGGAAGGTAGAGAAGCTGGTGTGGTGTGTTGGGGTGTGGTGTGGAGGAGAGGGGTGTGGTATGGTATAGTATAGTGTGGTGTGGTGGAACTTGCAAGAAATATGCTCCCTAGGCTGCTAGGGCAAGCTGTTCACAGGGAGATGTCTCACTGGGAGTACTGTGTGATACAACCACACAAAGGGTGTGCCAAAGGGGGCTGCTGCCTGCTGGGTGCTGCTGGCTGCCAAGTACTACAGGCCTAGTGCTGGGGAAGCCGCTCACGCTGGGGAGAACCTTTTCTTCTACTAGGATTTTCCATGATGTTTTATCCTCAAAGGTTGACATTGTACCAGCTGTTGAAGGAGAAATGTTTAATTTTTTCTAATGTTTATTCATTTTTGAGAGAGAGAAACATACAAAGCATGAGCGGGGGAGGGGCAGAGAGCAAGGAAGACCTAGAATCCGAAGCATGCTCCAGGCTCTGTACTGTCAGCATTGAGCCTGATGTGGAGCTCGAACCCACAAACCATGAGATCATGACCTGAACCCAACCAACTGAGCCACCCAGGCGCCCCAGGAAAAACATTTAAAAGAACACATATCCATTTTCACAGCACAGGCAATGAAGGACGAACCTGGGACTAAGCAGCAATGCATTGATATCTGGCATACCTGGGAATCCCTATCTATCCATTCTCAGGGTTTTGACCAAGGGCTTTTAAAAGCTATTGTCCTTCCTTATGTCTTATTTGTGCCTCACATAATTATCTTCACATATTTTACAGTTAATCATGATGGAAACTATTGTTCACAAAACCAAGTGTCCACCATTTTGTTAGAATGTGAGATTTTTTGTTTGCAGTGAAAATAGCTTTGTGTTATTTTAAATATTATAGCAGATTAGTTTTCAGATATTTCTTGCCTCTACACAACCGTTAGATGTTAAGTAAGCTAGAGAGGGGCCAGGACTGAGCCATTCTTGTTTAGTATAAATTGCCAGCATCTGGCACAGTGAATGACCCATAGTAGATGCTAAGTTGATTATTTATCTATGCATGAATGAAAATAGATTACAACTGCCCAAGTTCATGGGTAAACTGTTTTCATCACTGAGAAATACAAGAGATAGTTATGTTTGTGTAAGACATTAGGTACAGAGTAATAAATGTGTGTATCTAAAATGTATAGTATAGGCACATATCATATGTATCAAAGTACAGTAAATTCTTTCCCAAGAATTCTCAAAATCATTTTTAAAAAATCATAGTTTGAGAAGCCACAGAAAACCAATGAGGAGAAAATATCCATGGTGATACCATATGCAAAGAGAGATATCTCAGAAAGTCAGTGAATTTTGTTAGGTGTCACAGTTACAAGTTCTGGAACATAGTCCTTTTCATAAAGGAGTAAGAAGTATTATCTTTGGTTTGAGAAACTTTTGTTATTATCATCCTTGGGAGAAGGGGTTTTCTTGTTCCTGCCTGCTTTATTTGTTCAAGATATACCAATCTTGACTGGACCAAAAAGCCTAGAGAAATAACATGCTTGCGAGTTTGTATGCTAAATGTGTCAGTTAATGAATGCAGAAATGTTATAATGAAAAAAAAAATCATTGTTAAGAGACTAGAGATGAAACTTCAACCCAGTATTTTAGCATTGTAGCTGTTGTGATTTAGAATCCAAAGTACCAACTAATGGTAGTTTAGTTGCTATAAAGGAATGATACGGAAGAGAGAAGGAAAAATGAGAAAAGACTGGGTAGTTGTAATCTTCCACTTATCTAAAGACACGGTGGTATGGAATTCTTTCTATATTCTTATTGTAATTCCCTTAAATTTATATTTTCTGAATACTATTAGTAAGAATTACCTTTTTCTTTCTTAACAATTAGTACAGCTACTTTCTTACTGATAGGGAAGGAGTAATATGAGACAAAATCTGTATTAAGATTGTATGTCAAGTTAATTTTCTTTAGCATCTTTACTTAGTAGGATATAGGTTATATATTTAACATAGAATGAATAATGCAAAGGAAGAGACAGTGGTCATGATTAATTCATATTTATTTCAGTGAGAGTTTGGCATCATATTTTATAAAAGCACTAACTCCTTGTGAATTGTGTTCTGATACTTTCGCTCTGTTTTGTACTTGTTCCTTTTAACTTTAGATTGAAGTTACAGAACCTTGAAATTCTGGAACTGGAGGAATGGCAGAGAAGAGGGCAAAGAATTGTTGTTGTTGTTTTTCTAATAACATAAATAAACGTCAAAGAACGTAATAGCAACAATAACAACAACAATAACGAATTTCTAGAGTGGCCTGCATTCCTGAAGTTGTGAGGGCCCCTGAGTGAAGGATGTAGTAATACAAAGTATCTGTGTTCTTATGTGTTCCATCCACTTAAATTATGTATATATATATTACCAACAGAATCTCTTTCTTTAAGCAAAAACCACTGTGGTTCTCTGTTGTTTGTGAGTTGAAACACTAGGGGACAGCACTAAAATATTCCATAGTTGGTTGTTATTGATCACTTGCATAGTGTATAATAAGTAAGAGATTTTACTGTTAAAGACATTAAATGCCCTGTTGATTTCAGTGGGTAAAAACGCACAAAGGGGAAGATAAGCTTGCAAGTCCATAATTTCAGCCTTTGTAAGATGATGATTTGAATAATTTAAAGAAAGCTCCTAGGCTGCTTTTTCAGTTGTTAAGAAGGCATGATAACTTAAAGAATTGTGATTTTTCCGATAAAAGTGTTTTGTTCTTTTCATCCTTTTGGGATAAATATTTTGCATATTTTTTAAAATATGCATATTTTAAAAAAATTTTCTAATCTTGTTTTTCCAGGCACTTTGGAAAGACATGAAACAGGAGAAAGAGCAAGAATAATTCTCAATTGTTGTGATGATTCACAGCCTCTAAAGCCTGAATTTGCACTTCCAGTTACCTCAGAGACACATAAGCACAAAAGTGTAGAACAGAGACCCTCCAGCTCCTGTCAATTTGGGCCAATACCTTGCCCTGGTCTGCAGGTGGAGTCTTCATGGAAGGTAAGTTCGAACCAAATTGCTGCTCACAGAAAACATGATCAACTTCGAGTAAGAAATCATATGCCTTCATGAATATGAGGCAATTAAATATCAGCACAAAAACAAGAACTTAAGAGATGATTGCACCAGACAGACATATATACCAAATGATCTTGGGTGAATCAGGATAATTTTTAAGTGATTATTATGCTTGGTATAGCATTCTTTTTGACAAGATAGGTTCCAGCTATCATAATTGAGTCAATCTTATATTAACTCTGGACTTCCACATGGTTTTCAGTTGGGGGAGGGGCTGTATTCTGGGCTCTGCATCCATTTTTTCAGTCGAGTATAGATGACCTCTTCTTTAAAATGGTTATTACAGATAAACCAAAACAGTATTACAAAAACTGGATCATTGTATGGACAAGTTTTTTGATATACTCAGCACCTGTAGGATCACCAGCTCTTTAGAATTCCAAGCCTCAATTAATACACAGTGATGGAGTTTGCATTTAGTTTCATAAACCAAGTCTTCACTGAAATTTGGATCAGCTTTCTTCTTTTCAGTTTTAAAATGATATAGTATTTTATCTGATTTCTTTAAGGAACTTTTCCATCTTTTTTGTCATCTATATTTCTAAGTGATCCCTTCATCATGTTGTTATAATTATGTCATTTATATGTATATATCTAATGGAGTATTTTCCATGTAAACATATTTTCCTAATATTATCTATGTCTTTTTAATGACTACATCATGCTCTATAGTTTGGGTATACTATTACTGATTAGATTATTTTCCTATGGATTAATATATGGGTTTTTTTTTATGTTTCACTTTCATGAATAACATATCTATGAACCTTAAAGCTTTTTTTCATATTCAGTATTAATGGGATATATTTCTAAAAATGGGATCTCTAAATCAAAGTTTAGCTGATATTATTAACATTTTTGATTATTTTAGTAGTGTTATGAAGACTGCTAAAATATTATTGATAAAGACTTTAAATAAGGTTTTGTTTATCTCACATCCATGTGTATGGTTAGAGGCAAAAGGACGTGTCATCTTCAAGAAAGATCCATGGGCTGCTCAAGCTATGCTTCAGAGTACAGGGGGGAGAGGCAGGGGTCCAGTGTGCTTTTTGGGTTCCGAGCTTTGATTTAGATTTATCAGTCTTTTGAGAACTGAACCACACTAACCAAACACCGAAGCAATACATATATAAAGTAGAATGACAATTGTCCGGTCTACAATGATAAATATAATTGACATTTTGTTCACCCCTCAGCATATTCTCACTGTAGCAAAGCTACAGGTAGTCGGGGAGAAGAGAGAGATGAAGTTTTCACACAGGGCTCCTTGACGAGCATGGAGTCAGAGGCAGGAGGTGCTCGTTCACTGAGCTCTGAGAGTCTGATATACGTGGAAACATACAATTGATATACATTGATATAATCTGATATACAATGATATATCAAGGCTGATAAACATTGAAAAAATCCTAAATTTTGGATTTTTAAAGTCTCCATTTAGGCCACCCACTTTTGTTTATAGTTTCCTCCTTCAGATGTTAAAACTAGTCATCAGGCTTTACAGCTCCTCGTTGTTTGTTTTCTCATTTAGGCAAATTGGCTATAGATTGCCAAATGTGCTTTTCATGTTTTTGAAAGGGGTCATATTTTATGAGGAAAGTTATGTCAATATGATGAAACTTTAACATTCACGAATGAAAATTACAGTCATAAGGCCTTAGTCTCCAAAGGTGGGAAACTGAATCCTATGTGTTGTAAGATTGAGGTCAAAAAAGCCCAGTGAGTGAGCCCAGATGGCCACCAAGCATTCCCATCTTAATGTGGCTCTGTTGCTTTCTATGCATAATAGACTGTGCATCTTATAGTGGGAATTATAGGCTAGGATAGGAGATGAGAACTTGGGGATGTCTCTGGACTCGTGCATGTCAGATGCCTAGGGTCTGCAGGAGCAAGTCTCATTCATCAAGTGCCTATTTTACTAGTTTAATTCCCACAAGGTAAACTGATTACTGTTTCTTTCAGTTTCTTGGAGGACCTCAGAGTTACCGTTCAGGTAGTGGTAATAGTATATATAGATTTCATTTTCTTTATGTAATTTTGTTTCTTTCTTGACTCCAGGAAGCAATAAAACGCCAGGGTCTTGTTTCCCTACTCTTAGGCTTGTTCTGGCTTTATTTCCTTGCTACTGCCCTTTGCCTTTGATGACTGTGACTTCCAACCTTCGTTTTCTTCAGAGCTTAATCAGACAGGCCTATCTCCTCCTTTGTTCTATGCACCATGCTTCTATTATTATTGAGCTTACTGCTAATTAGAGCTTTTTTTTATTTGTGCTTTCCCTAAGTTATATCTTCATCAATTAAGTGCTGCGTATCTTCCTTTCAGCCTTTTTGACTTAAGCTGTTGAGATTATTGTATCTTACTCTTATTTACAAATTGAATATGCACGAAATTTCAGGAGTGCTTATAAATTCCCCATTCTCCTTATTGTTGCTGTAATAAAATGCTTCGTGTATTTTCATAAGAAAATTAGTTTCAAAGAAGAGGATTTGAATCACACTTGTTTTATAGGTGGGAAAATGAGGGAGAGAAACCCTGTGAAATGCACAAATGTCTAAAAGTTACTTTGTGTTTCAGAACTTTTTTTATGTGGATTTTTGTGACGTGCAGGGAAGTTTTTTCAAAGGGTACAGTGGACTGTTTAAACAGAAAAATACCATGTTAGATCTGTGTGGTGAGCTACTTGTGTTTTGAAATATTTGGGATTTATTTGAATTGTGTATTCAAGTTTTCTTCTTGCGTTTGAAGAGAGCATATAGATTTGGAAACAGATCTGTTGTTCTCTGTTGTTTTACAGAGAACAACAAATACAATACGACGCTTTGAAAATGGGTCCAATGAAATGCTAGAGGAGTTGAATTTGTGCAGCTAGACAAAGAAAAATCTTTGGGGTAGAGAGGACCAGAGTCTTAAAGGATTTAAAGGAATACAATATCATATTAGTGATGGGGAACTGCTTTTCTCCGAGTCTGCTGAGGATAAAACAAGATAGAAACTGTTTAAATTGCAGTGGGAGGAATTTAGCTTCAAAGTAGGATATAAACAACCTTACTAAAATCATCTCTACGTGGCAGAAAGCTTAGTAGCTTCATCATATTTTAAGGAGAGAGAAGGTCTGTTTTGTCTGTCGGTTGGTTTTAAACTCCTTTGTTTTTTGTTTGGTTGTTGTTGTTTTTCATTTCTTGTCTATAAATGAGTAATAAACAGGATTATTTTAACTGTCACAATTTAGACCCATTGTAGTGTCCAGGAAATTTCTTTAAAAAAAAAAAAAAAAAGATTTTCTATAGAATGGGGCCCCAAGAGCTCCCCCTAGTTGATTGTTTAGTGTTGCACTCTTTAATATGGTAGCCATTGATCACATGTGGCTATTGAACACTTGAAATCTGGCTAACACACATGTTAAAAATGACCTTTGTATATATAGGGTTAAATAAAATATGGTAGTGAAATCAATTTCACCTGTTTCTGAGTGTGTGTGTGTGTTTGGGGGGGGGGGTAATATGGCTACTGGGCAGTTTACAGTTATATATGTGGTTTGTATTTTATTTGGATTGGACAATGTTGAACTCCACTAGGAATAAGCAAACTTTTTTGTAAAGAATCAGGTGGTAAACATTTTAGGCTTTGTGGTCCAGATTTTCACTGTTGTAATTACTCAACTCTGCTGTTGAAGCACAGAAGCTAAACAATTCTTAAGCAAATGAGTGTGGTTGTGTTCCAATAAAACTTTACTTACAAACACAGGCAGCAGGCCAGATTTGATGCTCACTGCTTATAGTTGGCCAATTTATGATCTAGATAGTCTTCTCTAGAGTTAGAGGTCATGAGGCACTAGGAGGAACTGACAAAACAGCCAACACTTCTCCTCTCCCTAGATATCTGGATTTTTAATAAAACAACTTATTCCAACTTACGCACTATGTGGAATGCAATCCAAAAGACTTTGCATCGAGTCTGTTTCCCGACAGAAACCATGACATGCATATGTTTTGGAAATCTGCCTTTTTAGGAAAACAAACGTGCACATTATAGCTCCCAATCTAAAGAAGATTTTGTTTTTAATTTTTTTATGTTTATTTATTTCTGAGACAGAGAGAAACAGAGCATGAGTGGGGGAGGGGCAGAGAGAGAAGGAGAGACAGAATCAGAAGCAGGCTCCAGGCTCTGAGATCTCAGCACAGAGCCCAATACGGGGCTCGAAATCACAAACCGTGAGATCATGACCTGAGCCGAAGCCCGTCGCTCAACTGACTGAGCCACGCAGGCGCCCCCAAAGAAGATTTTTTAATGGCATTTCCTTTAAATGATGTACTTATACATACATCTTTATCCAAACATAGAAAATTGATTGTAAAGAATGCATTTACATTTGTTTATATTCCAGTGAGCTTTCTAGAAATATGTTTGTATTTTTTTAACCTTTACTTGACCTTAAGTGATGTCTGTTTTGTTCCATTTGGTGAAAAATCTTATTAGCACTTTATCCTGCTACGACTCGTAAAACAGGGATGCTGCACTGGTAGGCCACCAATAAAAAACTGGATCCCACTACTAATCACTTTATCAAAATAAAATGTTAGTTCTTTCATATTTTATGACACGAAAACGTAACCAAAATAGATTTAGAGCAGTTTTTAAATAATGCCTTAAAACGTCACCTGCAAATTTACATTTATAAATATGAAATAATAATTCATGTGACATTACATGTTGTACATTAGCTCAGTTTTATTGAATTATTTATATTTTACTGCCAATATTTAAATCACTACAGAAAAGAACAAATAGTATGTATTTGAAAACAATTCATTGCATTGCAATGGGATAAACCCTTAATAAAGAATGATAATTTTTACTTTTTTGAAGAGTAATTTTTGGTATATTTTTTAAATGTAACAAAAAGTGTATAGCTATTTGTTTTC